CCCCAGCCTCACGCGGGCTTGTCTCTCCCCAGCTCGGGTTATCGCCCCCAAGAAGGCGCGTGTCGTGCAGCAGCGCAAGCTGAAGAAGGTGAGAGGGGGGAGGGGTGCGCCCGGGCCTCAGTTTCCCCCCGTGCCGCGAGCACCCTGTGCACCCGGCCTGTCGGCAGCGCCCGCGGGTGTTGAGCTGGAGCCGGGCGCCGGTGCCCACGCCCGGAACCCGGCGAATCAGGAGGCGGAGATCTGAGAGGCTCCAGGTTCGAAACCAGCCGGGGGCAAGAAAGACCGCGAGACGCAGAGTCTGTCATTTATCAGCAGAAAGCCGCAGGTGGAGCTGTGGCTCAAGCGGTGGAGCGCAGCAGCCTTGAGTGAACAAGCATAGGGATAGGGCTCAGGCCCTGAGTTCGAGGCCCAGGACACCCCCCACACACACACTCACGCACACACACGTCAGTGTAACCCCCTTGTCCCTCAGGACCTGGAGGTAGGGATCCGGAAGAAGATTGAGCACGACGTGGTGATGAAGGCCAGCTCCAGCCTGCCCAAGAAGCTGGCGTTGCTGCGGGAGCCTGGCAAGAAAAAGGGGGCCACCTCCAGCCCCGCACCATCCTGAAGGCCCCCCGCGCCGCTTTCTCCCCGTCGGGCCACCTCCAGGGACCGCCCCCCCCCACCCTGCATGGGAGCTGACCACCAGGTGTACAACTTGGCAGCAAGGACTTATATGCCACTGGGGTCCCCTCTGCACTATCTTTTTTTTTGGGGGGGGTCCGGTCGTGGGGCTTGAACTCTGGGCCTGGGCGCTGTCCCTCAGCTCTTCAGCTCAAGGCGAGCGCTCTACCACTTGAACCACAGCGCCACTTCTGGCTTTTTTCTTTTTGCTTATGTGGTGCTGAGGAATCGAGCCCAGGGCCTCAGGCTTGCAAGGCAAGCACTCTACCACTGAGCCACCTTCCCAGCCCATGTCTGCACTATCTTAACCCAGCAATAAACCCGTCCCTCCTGTCCCTCCTGTGGTCTCTGCCTTCCTGTCAGACCTGGGTGTGCGCGCTCTGGGCCGCCGCCAGCCCAGGGCTGCGGCTACAGCGCCTCCATCTCCTGCACGCGCCCCACGGTCGGTGGCTACGCATCTTCCCTGCCTCTCCTAAGGTCTTGGTGCTGCTTCCATAAGGGTTACTGTGAGCCAGACCGTCCTAGAACCTTCCACGCGTCACCCCCACCCAGGGACATAGAGCCAGCATGGAAGCCCAGCTGGCAGCTTCCTGTGCCCGAGTGGTTTCCCATGCTCGGCGGCTCCCCCGTCCGTGCTGGACGCGCCAGGCCTCGCCCGGCCCTGCATGGCTGCTGCCGCCCCGCGCCGTGGGCTGCCGTGCTGTGACTTGTCTTCCTCAGCCCGCGTCGGAGCAGGTGACACTGACACAGCCTTGTTTTGATGTTTTGTGGTACTTGGGTTGTGATTTGAACTCGGGGCCTTGGGCGGCGACTTTTACCACTTGAACCATGTCCACCCCAAGTGCTTGCTTTGTTGTGTTCTGGTTCTGTGGTGCTGGGATGGACCCTGGCACCTGCGGGCATGCGCCTGCCTGCCTGCCACGGTGTTCTGGGACAAGGTATCCCTGACTTGGCCAAAAACTCAGTCCTGCTGCCTCTGCCTCCCAAGCAGCTAGGATTACAGGTGTGCACCACCACACTTCACCCGAGCATGTGGACTTGGTCTTCTAGGGTAATAATGAGAGCAATAATAATAGTGGGAAAATATTCTTTCTTGGATGCCAGAGGTTCTATGTATTCATTTATTTTTGGTAGTGCTGGAGGATTTGGTTTGGGCTGCTGATATTACAGAGCCAGGCCTCTAGTCCTGTTTGTTCTTTTTTTTGGGGGGGGGTCCGGTTGTGGGGCCTGAACTCTGGGCCTGGGTGTGTCCTTCAGCTCAAGGCTAGCGCTCTGCCACTTGAGCCACAGCTCCACTTCCAGCTTTTTTCTTTTTGCTTATGTGGTGCTGAGGAATCGAGCCCAGGGCCTCATGCATGCAAGGCAAGTGCTCTACCGCTGAGCCACCCTCCCAGCCCTCTTCTATTTATTTTTAGGATAAGTGGGCCCTTCCTGCCCTGGGCCACCAACTGCAGGTTCCCCCCCCCACCCCCCTTCAAAAATATGCCACTTCTCCCAACTTGTTATTGTGTAGATGGAGTCTTGGGGAGTTTTAACCAGGCTGGGCATTAAACTGCAATCCTCCTTTTCTCAGCCTCCCAAGGAGCTAGGATTATAGACCTGTGCCACTAGTCTCAGGAGGCT